AATAACCATGTATTTATTTACCTTGTGTATATCAAATCGTAATGTCATGCTTTAAACATTGCAATAGCAGAGGACATAACAGGAAGGATCATTTGGCATTGATCAAATGCACAATTAGAATTGCATATAACATTTTAGATGACCCAATCCCACGTGTCAGGAGGATCGGAGAGAGGCTGATAAACCAGTTAACTGTCAGCTGTCAAGAAAACACTGCTATTATTTATCAAAGGTATTGTATTATCTGCTAGCAGACAGGTGAAACAACCTGATAGAAAGAAGATAAACTCCTGCAGATTCCCAGAATGGAAGAGAATTAGCAGACTCCTTAATTATTATATAAAAATACTCAAAATGGGGGCAGGGCCTGAGCCTCATGTTGTCTAGTGGCAACATGGAGGAGCACCTGACTAAGCTCGCACTTTAAGCTTTTGACTGTGGCAACCAGCTCTCATAACCGGCACAATCAGTGTCTCCTCCACTGAAACTACTAGACTTCAAGCAACTATCCCTCATACTGATGACAACCTTGGCCTAAGGCCTCCAAGGGCATACCACCCTTACATCGTCCACATGAGCGGGGCAATTGTACACCACATCTCCGCTACCCCCTGAGTGGGGAGAACTTGGACATAGACAGGTTTCAAGTTTGTGGGTTAGGGATGCTGGACTAAACACAGGCCTTTACAGCTGCCTTGCACATCCCGAGTTTGGGAATAGGCTGACCTGGAAGACACAAAACCATGTAGCCCTAGCATCTACTGCCTGAACATTGCAGGTGTACCTAGAGATCATCATCGCCCTCTGTTTTTTCAGCTGTTCACTTGAACTGTGCCATATTTGATATTACTCATAGTGCCTTTTGATGCTTTTCATTTATGTTGCATTTAATGAAGCACCGTGCTAGAGATTCTGAATGCAGTGGAATTCATTTGTGTACTGATTTCACATGTGATTTACCTTTTCTACCTTATGGTCTCGTCTCTGTTGTCCATAAGTCTAGACAGCCTCATGGTTCGCAAGCTCATACTTTCACCCATAACAAGACATGCATATATAGCTTGTTGTTCTTACACTTTAAAAATGTGCAAATTCAGTGAATGCCATATCCGCTATGTTTTATGCCTGTAATAGAGAATGCTTATCTATGCTGTTGTGGCTGGGTCTGCTGCTTTGTATTTCTATGCACAACAAAAATTACAAACAAAAAAATTTAAAAATACCCAAAATATAAAAAAAATTCTACCAAATGTCTGGTAATCTAATTATTTGTTTTCATTGCAGCATAGTGATGTCGTAAAAGGTAAATTTCTAGCTGTGTTAGAACTATTGGCTGCAAAGCTACAATTCTACATTTTGGTATCATCCAGTTATTGGAGGAAAATGCAAAAAAAATCAGACACAGGCAATTTCTGTCTACATTTTAAACATGTGAGAGTTTTATGAATATTTAAGGTGATGTCTTAGAATCAAGCATGAAAATGTGTGATGTACACCAATGACTAAAATGCTAATGAACTCTAACATGTATTTATTTTACTTTTAATGCAAAATAGAAGCCAACATATACCATATTTTATACATGTGGGTCAGTGGAAGAATATTTCTTTTGATAGGATAATTCTTTTTAAAGTAAGGGAATCCATAAGACATGATCTATCAACAGTTCTTTTTCCTAAAATTTTAAAATCTATGCTGCTTTATGGATGTGAAAAAACTGGAAAAGTTCAGCTCAGTTATTTTTTCAGCTTTTCATTTTTATTTTTTTTTTATTTTATTTGACAATTTTTATAGCTTTTCCAATTTTCAATTGTGCCAGTTTTGCCAGTTTTGCCAGTGAGAACTCAGTGGGCTAATGCATCATCAGTAGAATCTGCAACAACCCCTGAATGTTGGGCTAAGCCGCAGGGTTGTCAAACATGCGGCCCCCCCAGATATTGCTGAACTACAACTCCCATGATTCTTTCAATGAAACAGATAGCCAGGGAATCATGGGAGTTGTAGTTCAGCAGCATCTGGGGGGCCGCAGGTTTGACAACCCTGGGCTAAGGTAACATCCCCATGACATACTTGAAAACCAGAGCAATCTGAATGTGCCTTTCCTGGTTAAATACTTTGTTGGATAGGCATAAGGCTATCCTAACTATAAGATAAGGCCAGGGACTAATGAAAGTATTTAGAAATTTGGGAAGACTAGATGGGTCGAATGGTTCTTATCTGCCATCACATTCTATGTTTATGTTTCAAAACAATTCGAAACAAAATTATACATCAATATATATCATCAAAATAAAAAGAACTGTCACATTAGTCCAATACCACATATCTAATCAATTAATATTACAAGCTGTATCTCAAAGCAAATGTCTCATCTAATATTCATAATAGCAGTTTATATGTCTATGTATATTCCTAAACTTGGACCAATAAGCAAGCTAAATACACATCCACGTACACAGTTGATGCAATGATACATGTTACTTCTATACAGCATGTATAAATAACAAATGTTACTCCTTAAATACATATCTAATCTGACAGATATAACTATAATTGATGTAAATAAATACAAATAATAGAACAAAGCCAATCAACAAAGTAAAAAAGAAACAAAATCAAGAAGATAGTGGGGTACTCAATCGCAATGCATTTACAAAATAATCTATTAACATAATACAAATTTAAAATTAAAGCATGTGAGGGGTTAATATTACTTCAGACGAAAAACTTTCCTTTTTTTCCCCCTTTTTAGGGGGGGGGATATATTCCCCTGTTTCATCTGATCTTTAGGTATCCCGTGATTTAACCACAGGGTCCAAATTGACAGGCTTCTGCATTTTACCCACTGCTGACCAGTGAAGTTCTTCCATATCTCCAGTAAGCTTTAATCTTTTAATCCATTCTTCTAAGGACAGAATCTGTTTTTGAAAGCATTAGCTTCATTTAACATAAACCATTCTGATTTTGCAAGGCATTTGGCCAACCTAATAAATCTGAGGTGGTGTAAGTTTACAAGAGAGCATCAATACTATATTGATTACTTTTAATATTTTATTCAGTAATCCTGGATTTTCTCGCAGGATCACCAAACATGTTCCATGGTACCTTCTACCTCATCACATCTCCAGCACTTATTATTTTGTGAGATACATTTGTGTAGTTGTACTGGTTTCCTGTACCATCTAGTTGTTCTTTTATGAAATTATTCCCTTTTTGCTAGTCCTATCGGTGTATTCATTACCTTTTGGAATGTATAAGCCCAATCATTATCTGATATAGAAACATGTAATGTTTTTGCCCATTTTATCATACAATGAAGATGTATGTTAGTTATTCTACCCTCTTGTATTATATTAGAGATTTTAGAAAGTGATCTAGATATATTATCTGTGGGTCCACACCAGGTCTCAAATGGAGTAAGGTTTCTTGTTGCCCATATTGGGATAATTATTTACCTCAGGAACCTAGTGAGTTGTAAGTACAATAATTTCCCTAGTAGGGTACCCTGATTACATTGCAATTGTAAATTAGCCATATCAAGACTAGCGGTAGAAGGAAACAGGTCACCTAACGTAACATCTATTTTCCCAAATAATGTACGAAGTGCTGCACCTCCCTGTTCACCTTGAAAATCTGGGTTATTTGCTATTAGTAATAAGAGTGATGTATCTGGATATAAGTACATAGTTACATAGCTGAAAAGAGACTTGCATCCATCAAGTTTAGCCTTCCTCACATATGTTTTTGCTGTTGATCCAAAAGAAGGCAAAAAACCCAGTCTGAAGTTCTTCCAATTTTGCAACAAACTAGGAAAAAAATCCTTCCTGACCCCAAAATGGCAGTCAGATATCTCCTTGGATAAGGCAGCTATTACCACACTAATTAGAAATTATAATTAGAAATAATATAATAGTTCCCCTATTATGTTAACTTGCCTCCACTTCTGCATAATGTTAAATATAATGGGGTGCTTTCCCAAATGTCATTTAGATAAAGTACATAATTGCCATGGTAATGTACTCAATGGTAAAGATACAAAACTTTGCTCTAACATATTCCATGATTTTACATTCTTTGTATTCGTATATTCATGAAGGCAGAAAAGAGTGCTGCTAACTAATACTAATATATATATAGCATATCCAGGCCGACTCCATTCCCTCTTCTCATGAGAATATTATATGAGGTTCTAGCTTTCTGATATCACATACTATAAACATAGATTTAACCAAATGAAAAATGTCTCTTCTTTTTTGGAAGAGAAAAAGTAACATCAGCAAGAAACAAAAATGATACAAAACTTTGCTCTAACCTATTCCATGATTTTACATTCTTTGTATTCGTATATTCCTGAAGGCAGAAAAGAGTGCTGCTAACTAATAGTAATATATATATAGCATATACAGGCCGCCTCCGTTCCCTCTTCTCATGAGAATATTATATGAGGTTCTAGCTTTCTGATATCACATACTATAAACATAGATTTAACCAAATGAAAAAATGTCTCTTCTTTTTTGGAAGAGAAAAAGTAACATCAGCAAAATCATAATTTTTAAACTATCTATTCTTACAAACATTGAAAAATGAGAATAAAATGAACTGGTGAATAAATCCTAAACAAAGAAAATGGTGCTACAATCACCTTAGTGGAGCCACCAAAACCCACTACATAAATAAAAGTGACAATAAAAAGTACAAATGGTGAGAGCACTCAATATAGAACAGTAACTTATACAGTAATATTACCCAAACTGGATTTGGATCTGCAAATAAACACAGATAAAGAGAAAAACATAGGGTAATAACTTAAGGATAAATAAAAAGACTCAACAACTGGTCTCACTCACATAAAAAGAGCCACTTAGATAGCTGGCTCAAACTTGCATGCCTTGAATCAAAACTCTTGTAGGGCTTTCACTGGGTCCTTTCTGTAGTTGGATTCCTTACACCACCAGGAAACGCAGGTTCAAGGGGTAATTATGAAATTTATTTTCAAACATAAAAGGAATAAATAAAAAACTACATATACAAAAGAAAGTCCCTTTAAGAAACAAGTCCTCTTTGGACTTGTTTCTTAAAGGGACTTTCTTTTGTATATGTAGTTTTTTATTTATTCCTTTTATGTTTGAAAATACATTTCATAATTACCCCTTGAACCTGCGTTTCCTGGTGGTGTAAGGAATCCAACTACAGAAAGGACCCAGTGAAAGCCCTACAAGAGTTTTGATTCAAGGCATGCAAGTTTGAGCCAGCTATCTAAGTGGCTCTTTTTATGTGAGTGAGACCAGTTGTTGAGTCTTTTTATTTATCCTTACGTTATTACCCTATGTTTTTCTCTTTATCTGTGTTTATTTGCAGATCCAAATCCAGTTTGGGTAATATTACTGTATAAGTTACTGTTCTATATTGAGTGCTCTCACCATTTGTACTTTTTATTGTCAATTGAAAAATGAGGCAGATGCCATCTCCGTAGATCTTTCTGTATCTCTCTTATTACAGGTAAGTAATTAGCTTTGCATAACCCCAACACGTTAGGGTCACATTACCTTATGTTGCCCAGGCTGTGATACAGCGTGGGAAGGTCCCTAAGGAGGAGATGGACCTTTCCCATGGTCCCTCTCATCTCACCAGCAGTTCCGATGCTGACCGCTGTAGCTCCGCCCCCTTTTATGACACAGCACATGCGCGCTTATGTCATGATACCACGGCCCACCAAAATGTTTGAATCTGATCATTTTGGGTGTGTGGCTATCAATTAAAGGCATAGACTATAAAAAGAACACTTAGGGTGCTGGTCATTGCCCTGTTGTGGTTTCTGTTTTCAGTTCCCAAGAGTGCGTTATATTCTGTGTCTATTTTGGTATTTTGATCTTGGCTTTCTCCTAACTATTCTCCATTCTGTTCTTCCTGACTTGGCTATTGGTTTTTTGCTTCCCTGATTTCTGGCTTCCCTGACTTGGCTTGTCCTTGACCATTCTTATTCTAACAACGTATAACCTGGCCATTCTAAGGACCGGTAAATGTTGTCTAATCAATTATCGTATATACTCTGCCTGTTGGGTCACTAGATATCGTAACAGGAGTAATATGCACACCTAAATTTGTAATACTTGTCTTGTTCCATTGAAACTCACAAATAGATTGTGTCTGTAACTTCATATGAGCGGCTTTGTTTATCCCTAATAGTTCACATTTGCCTAAATTAATTTTATAACTAGAAATCACACTAAACCTCTCTATCTGTTATTGAATTGCTTCAAGAGAACTTATTGGATCTGTTACAGTAAGCAAGACATCATCACCACCCTCCCCCCCCCCTTGGTTATTCCACTCCTGTAATCCTAGGTTATTTCTTATACCATGAAAGAAAGGTACAAATCAAAGGGGTGATAGGGGGCAGCCATGCCTTGTGCCGTTGCTTATTGGAAAAGGAGCAGAGTATTGACCATTAACCCTAATAGAAGCTGTAGGACCACTATACAAAGTCTGGACCCAAAAACAATATTTCAGCCCAAGCCCCATTGCCTCCAAAACATAAATTAGATAGGACAAGTCCACTATGTCAAACACTTTTTCAGTGTCGATAGAGAGAATTGTAGTGAGAATTTTAGTCTTACCAGCTCTATGTAGTATATTAATAACTTTGGTAGTATTATCCCTTCCTTCTCTACCATAAATGAATTCAGCCTGATCAGAGTTGACTAGTCCAAGTAAGTGGGGCTTGAGGCAAAATGGCAGTAGCTTAGCAAATATCTTTAAATCTGCATTTGTAAGGGATATGGGTCTATAACTACTACACTCTGTAATATCCTTCCCAGGTTTTGGGATAACCATTATAGATGCACAAAGCATGGAGGGGGGCTAAAGTAGATTCAGGTGTTAAAGAACTGAGGGCACTAAAAAGATGAGGTTTGAGATAAGATCTAAACATTTTATAATATTTGACTGTTAAGCCATCTAGTACGGGGCTTTTACCTATATGTAAGGATTTAATTACTCTAACAATTTCCTCACTCATAAATGGAGACTCTAATTCATCAGCTATGTTTTTGGATAGTACAGAGACTAGGTTTGCCTAGATCTAACTCTTGACCTTTTGGTTTAGGTGAATTATATAAATCTTTATAAAGCAAGTTAAATGCTTGTGCAATCGCCTCAGTAGTGTTATGGTGGGTATCTCTATTATCAATAATTTGAGCAATAAAAGATTGTTAATGTCTAGATCAGGGGTAGGCAACCTTTTAGCAGCACTGTGCCGATATAGGATTGTGATGTCCCGTAGCGTGCCGATCCAATTTTTTTTAAATTGAGGTGTGTATGCTGCCGTATTCTGCTTGTGTTATTTTTACTGTAATTGCTTTGTATCATTGTATTTGTGCGTATATGAGCTATTAGATTGAATATGTTCATTAGTAGTTTATGGTATCGTGTATGATACATATAAATGTGGGCTGTGTATGAGGGCTGCTTGTGGAATTGTGTGTGGATGGATATGTCACATTGTGTGTTTGGTAGTGTGTGGGGGCTGTTTGGGGTATTGCATGTGAGAGGCTGCATGTGGGGTTGTGTGCATGTATGTGTATTGTTAGTGGTGTTGCGTTTGTGCGGATTGTGTGTATGTTTGTTTGTGGGCTGTTCATATTATTTGTATGAGGGGAGGGTTATTCTGCATTTCTGTGTATATCTAGCAGTGTGGGTGGGTTCCCTGGGTTCCAGTGGGGACAGGAGCTGCAATAGCTGTTGAGGGCTGCTCTACTAAAGTGTGGATTCCCATTCACAAGTGCTGGGAGGCAGTGATCTGAGATCAGTTCCTCTATGTGCTGCAATGCATAAATTGAGGATTGTTCTTCACCACCTCTTCGTATTAGCAAATATCAGAAGTTTTACTGGGACTCCTGATAGGCCAGAGTGCGTTTGGCTCTAGCAGCCTTGAGTGCCGTACAAAGACACCTTGAGTGCCGTGCATGGCACTAGTGCCGTAGGTTGCCTACCCCTGGTCTAGATGTAAGGACCTTTGCTAGTTCTTTTCCACTCCTATTACCATGGGAGTAAAGCTAATCCTTGTTAACTGTATCACACGTCTAGCTTGGCAATTCAAAAGACTACAAAGTTTACCTCAAAGTGCTGTGTTTTTTTTAACATTTCCAGTTAACTTTTCAATTAGTCACAACTGAATCCATTATTTGATGAATATAGAAAAAAACAACAGTAATGAATTTTTGCAAGGAAGGTACTTCATTGGTACTTCGACAATTTTTATATGGAAAAAAAATGTTTCCAGTAGTTTATGATCACTAAGATTTTTTTTAGAGGATTTGGAAAGCTAGAAAATACAGGAAATAAGTACATTAGCCATTGAATATATGTGTGCAAAATATATAAATAAATCTCTTTCATGCATATTTGCATTGTCCCTGCCCCACGATTGGTAACTGTCTGGAGAAGCTTACTTGAGAGCTACTAGACATGTCAAAAAAAGGGACAGGTTTGAAATCAGTCCTATTTCAGCAGGTTTTGCATATGCCTAGTCTCCTTTGACCCCTTAACACCTCAGGGCATTCTATGCCATCCTGCAGAAGCTGGGCATTAGAACGTGATCAATACTAACCTGCTGCCCTTAGCCCAGGCAGTCACCTTGCAGCATGTCTGGCACCCTCAGGCCCCCTGGGCTATTTTATCGCTCTCACACCTGGGCTGCCGGGCAGTCTCCCTGCTACTGTAAAAAATTATTATAAAGTACAAAAAAAATAAAATATATATATATATATATATATATATATATATATATATATATATATAGATATATATAGATATATATATATATATATATATATATAGAGAGAGAGAGAGAGAGAGAGAGAGAGAGAGAGAGAGAGAGAGAGAGAGATTTTCGTTCCCTCAATATTTCTATAAAAAAATAACAAATAAACAAAAAAAATACAACATTTATTTGGTCAGCAATCTATAGTCAAAATTCCGGTTTTATGATTGCATGTCATGTTTCATATAAATGTTATGCTTATATTTATTTTAAACAAAATGTGCATGTTGTGAAAGGGTTAAACTAAGCTTTACATTTGGGGAAAAATAAAACAACAAATAACAGGAACAAAACTCATAAAACTATAAACTAAAAAATCTGGTGTAATAATAGGAGGTAGAGAGTGCAATTATTCATCAAATTAAAACAATATCATAAGATATCCTATACAAAATCAATGAAAGCAATGGTGTTAGCAATAAATAAATAAATAAAACATTATAACATTGCATGTTTGGGTTAATCAAATGCTTTTTAATATGACAGAAAAGTATATAAAGCAATACCATGCATATAAATGGACTATCATCTATAACGCTGTGATGTGCTTATTAGCAATTCAAATTAGGTACCTTATTCCTTCTTTCACACTGCATATAATATAATACCAATGAGCCACAGCAAATTATATGTGTCATACCATGTGTAAAATATATGTAGAAAGATGTACAATAACATTTATATTATGTGGATATTTTGTTTGCAACAAGTTATATTTTCAGAAGTGCTACGACAGCAGGATGTAAGCATATTATGCATAGGGCATTATTATGATATCCTTAGTATTCATTTTATTGTCAGTTGGTAGAGTTCTATAATATTGTGATTTACATCTTCACAGCTGAAGATATTTCACATGCATTTTCTACTGAATATCCTTTGGATTATTCCTCTGTATTTACAAATATGTCTGACGTTATCCACTTATCTAGGAAACTGACAAAGGAGTCAACATTTCCCCAGCTGTGCCATTTTCACAACTGGGATAGTTTGGCCTAAAAAAAAATCAGTTTACTTTGTTCAGTTCTCCACAATTCCCAGTTTTTTCACAGAATGGAGATGAACTTAGCTAAGGCACGTGTGGCAGCAGGTACAAGATTTCATCGGGCTGTTGCCTTAACTTCAGTGTCTTATGGTCTAAAGTTGAGAATTGAGGAGCTGGAAGAGGACATCAGAGAATGAAGGCATAGAGACTCCATCCTTAAGAGTCATCAGGATATAAAGATGGCCACATACTTTTCTTCAGAAGCTATGGTTGACATGGTAACAGTGCGGGCCAGAAACATAGTTGTATC